AAGGAGGATTTTAAATTCTATTCTGGATTTAAAAAGAAGCAAATGAAGAGCAGCCAGGAAACTCTTGTCTTAGCATTTTGGATCAGCTGAAGGATTTTAACTACAGTTTGTGGACTTCCTGATAGTAAAGAATTACAATAGTCCAGCCTTGAAGTAACAAATGCATGGACTAGTTTTGGAGCCTATTAAGAATTAGATTGATAAATTTATTTTTTGCTAAATTATTAATGTTAAAGATCTAAGGTTGTGTGAATGGTACAGCTCTTGTTTATTTATGTATTGGTTTTGGTTTTACCCTCCTCCTCGTCAGTCCGTCTCCTGCTGAGATTAACAGGTAGAAGAAGCTGATGAGGTGGACCTGATTGTTTGTTAACTTAACGTTTATATTAGAATTTTTTGTAAGTCAAATCTGAGAATATTTCAGTTATTTCTTATAAGTAAAGAAAACACCCCTTTTTGAGACAAGAAAATTCTCCATGAGTGCTTTTAGTTTTGTGAGTCGAAAAACCTCCTCCTAGGACTACTCTGGCAATTTTTGACTTTTTGGGAAACTGTTTTGATGCAAGAGTTGCCGTAACAACTAGTTTCTCAGAATCACCCCTGAACACTCTAATTTCTGCAATGAGAGAATAAAATGTTACAAACCTGTTTGATATTGAATTTAAATGGCAAGTCCTGATTAAAAATAAAACACAAAGGATTTTTTCAAAAACAATTTAATCCCATCCAGATTAAGCTACCGATTAATCAGCTTAGTTTTCAAAGACTCTGATCCAAAGGAAATAACTTCGGTTTTTCTGCACTCAAAGTTTTATTGGCAAAAAAAAAAAAACTAATCAAATGTAAGAAAGTGAGAATACCTTTAAAAGGCAGAGTATTTGTAAAGTGTCTGATGTATGAAAGCAAATTTGCACTGCAAAAATGATCTCAAAATAAGTAAAAATTTCTTGAATCAAGTTTATTTACCCTTAATTTGAGTAGGTAAATAAGATGATTTACCAATGGAATGAGTATTTTTATTCTCAAAATAAGATATTTAGATAAAATGCACTTGAAATAAGACAATGCAAATGTGTTTTCTTATTTTAAATGTAAATTCTCTTGTTCCATTGGTGAAATGTTTCTTTTACCTCCCCAATTCATGAACAAATGCACTTGTTTTAAGAAAAGAATGACTTATCTAGATTTTTGATTTTTTTCCAGTGTGTGTGGAAGCTACAGTCAGAACTTTAATACATTTTGTGGCATAATATCCCCAGTGATATTTTGACTACAAAAACTGAAGCATTTTAAATTCTGAATGGTGTTTGATGCTTAGAGTTTTTCTACGCATCTTAATGGTAAAAAAAATAAAAAATAAATCCTGTCATTCTGTAGAAGTGTGTAGAGCCACACTGAGAAAAAAATGTAAATCTTAAGTCATTTTTTCTTAAAATAAGTGCATTTTGTCTTGAATTGAGGAGGTAAGTGAGACACTTTGCCAATGGAACAAGACAATCTAAATTTGAAATAAGAAAAAACAATTATATTGTCATATTACAAATGTATATTATCTAATTATCTTATTTTAAGAGTAAAAATACTTATTCTATTGGCAAATTGTCTATTTTACCTGCTCAAATTAAGGATAAATTAAGGATTTGATCCATTTTTACTCATTTTTAGATCGTTTTTGCAGTGTGTATGTGGTTTAATATGTAAGAAAACTCATGCAGGACAAACTGTAGCGTCATAAATCTTTGTGGTACACTGCTGCCCACCATAGGATCTCTTGTGGCATTGCATGTCTTTAGTAAGTGGACATGTGCAGCAGTATGACTTCTTGTATTAATAAACTTACTGTGTGCTCTCCCTCCTCATGTGTCCCATTTTTTTCGTTTGTCTAACATCTGACACAAACTACCCTGACCCTGTGTTCTTTCATTGATTAAATCAAACCCACCCTGCGTTCTGTTCCTCACCTCTCAATCACTCGTCTGTTCCAACACCTTTGCGCCGCCACACTGCCCTCCCTCTCCCTCTCCATCTGTTTGTCCCCTTGTCGCATCACCCTCCTCCCCTCTTCCAGAGTTTCCTCAGTAAGAGGTTGAAGGGCTCCATCAAGAGGGCCAAGAGTCAGCCGAAACTGGACCGAACAAGCAGTTTCCGCCAAATGATCCTCCCCCGCTTCCGCAGTGCCGACCAAGACAGGTCAGTGAGTGAGCAATGGACGCACAGTAGTGTGGATCTTTTTGATGTGTTTGGCCACTGCTTTACTGACAAATTCATGCATGAAACTTTTTTTTCTTTTTGCCTTTTTTTCTCAGCTGTTTGGAGAAATCTACTTTACTTAGTTTCGGAATGTCAGATTGATGAATTATGTTTGTAAATAATAGAAACTAAAATTATTCTGACAGAAAATATCAAAACTTCTTGCTGAAGAAATCCAGGCTACAAAACTACCATAAAATCAGAGGGAAAAAAGGAAAAACATGTCTCAGTTTTTCAGATGTGCATATCTGGTAATGAAACACATTTGGTATTAATCAGCTTTTAAAATGAGTTAAATTAAGTATAAAAAAAACACACAGTAAAAATTAGTCAGTGGGAATTAAATAAAGAGGCCAAAATGGAAGCTGTGTGGAAAAAACTAATGCCACCCAAAGCTTATGTTTCACAATGAAATTCTTGCTATATTTTTATACTGAGCAACTATCCTAAGGTCGCACCACATGTTAATCAGACTATATAGATCAGAACTTTACTTGGGCCATTCCAAGAACCTCAGTCTTTATCTTTCTCATCCCATCCAGCTGTGTTTTCATTCAGTTTCTTTATATAGTCCTCATTTCATAATTAACAGACAATTCAATCAGATGATTCAGTCTATTGGTTTAACTTAGAAAACCCAGCTGGTTGCATCCAGTCATTGACTTTGTAGGATTCGCCTCTCCTGGATAAGTAGACATTCATTGCATTGTGCCATTAAATCTACAGCAATCCCTCACACCAAGCATGTATACAGTGACAGTGGAGAGGAAAAATTCATTTTTAACTGGAAGAAACCAGCAGAATTCAGACTCGGTGTTGGTGGCCTTCTCCTGACTGGGGGTTTCAAAACGATAGAAGTAGACACACAAAAGGATCACAGACACACTGATCTATGAATAATTTCCATATTAGAGAATGCAATGGTAAAAAAGCTCCATAGATGGTTTTGTTTAGGAGTGAAATACAGCTAAGCAGGTGAGGTCTGAGTTAGTTCATGTGTCAAAAAGGATCAGAGAGCATATAGTAAGTTACAGTAAAAGCTGAGCCAATGGCTATGTCTAGGAGAGGGACAAGGCTAAACACTAAGGAAATGGGCCAATTTATAATTGAAGGTGATGATGTTTGGTTGCTAATTGGCTGCCAAAAGGATGCAAGGCTGGATGAAGTAACTATGAAGATGAAAGATAAAGAGAGAACTTAAAGTTAAAAGCTGAACTAAATAATAACGCAACATGAGGGAAAGTAGACCGATTGTCCTCCAGCAGTCTGAGCCTATAGCAGCATAACTACAGAGATACCTAGGATAGCCTGAGCCACTCTATTAGCTTTATCAAAAAAGAAAGTTTTAAAATTATTAGACTGCCACACTGGCCTCACTGACTCAAATTTTTTGTTTCTACAGAATACGAGTCTGTTAACTAAAACATCTGACACCCAATCTACTATTAAAAATTAAAGGAACCACTTGGAAACCTACAGGCGTCGATGTCACTGAACTGCTCATCTGTAGGATTGATGGACTCACACTTGAGTCTAGAATCATTTGGCAAACAGAGCTGCAGAAACTAAAATATAAGTCCTTATTTCTTAAAATAATTGTACATTCCCTCAATTTGAGCTGATAAGTGAGATACTTTTCCAAAGAAATAACTTGATTTATGTTTGAAATATGTAAAAAAAAATCTTCTATTGTCTTATTTTAAGTAATTATCTTAGGCGGGTGAATACTCATTTAAATTGTAGATTGGCAAGTTTTAGTTCGTTTTTGCAGAGAGAGAAGTTCACGGTTTATTGAGTGCAAGGTGCCTTTGGTACAAATAAACCTAGATTATGTATGAAGTCTTTGTCCTGATATACTTTGTGTAGTTTTTTTTTTCAAAATATGCTGTTCTGCATCATGACAAAACATTTACAGAAGGATCACATCTCATCAAATGACTTCTTTCCACTTTAATGGTTCTTTCAGAAGTAGTTTTAAAAAGCTTATCTATGCTACCAAATGTTCTCAAATATATAGCATGCTAAGATGGGACTCTTATTTTTGTCTTTTTCTAAACATTGCGTCCTCTTAAGGCAGGGGGGAGGTTATTTTACAACACACTCCTAAGAGAATTGACAACTATAAATGTTTTTTAAGTCTTGAATAATCTTCCCCTGCATAAATTTTTTACTTTGGATTGTTTAGAAATGAAAATATAACTCCTTCTGTATTGAAGGGCAGTAAAAGTTGCTTCTCTTAGGTATTGCTGATGTCTTTTCTTCCTGGCATTGAGCTTTACAGCGTTTGCTTCAGAGCAGCAAATAGCCATAGCTCCGCTTTTATGGAGGTGCTAACAGTGATGATGTGTTTATGAAGTAAATATTGTTGCTTTCCCAGGGAAATCCATAGAAGCTACAATGGATCACTTAGTTTGTCAACATTCAGCTTTTGGCTTCTTCCTCAATTTGTGTTTAATTGAGTTTGTAGAATCTGCTGTGTGATAACTTGTGGACGGTGCAAAAATAATTATAGATCTTATTGAATCCCAGGCTGCTTCCTAATGTGATTACATTTGAGAGCACTCCTAAATCCTTAACTTTTTTATATTTTGTTCACAGCTATATTTAAAGCTGTTTTCATGCCCTTAAATCCTCCAGGGTGCTTATAAGTGCCAGGTATGTACGGCCAATTTTCCCTGAAGTATGAGAGAGAAGATGCGTCTTGTTGCATAATTTTCGATGGGGAAATAAGTTCACTTTGCACTCTCATGTCTCACTTCAGTGTCACTTGGAGCTGAAACCCTCAGCATCATCACTGTTTCTGTCAGAATGATGAAGAAACATGGTCTCTCTCACCATGGTAACAAGCAGGCAGCCATAATCCGGGCTGCACAGGCGGAAATGAGTTAGTGGGAGATTTGCTTAATTATACCTCCTCTTGATCCTGTGCATACTTATAGCAGAATAAAGATTCCCTAGCAGCACAGAGAAGGCAAAGCTAACGTGTTCCTGTGAAACTGATTCCTCCTAATGGTTTGAAATGCAGAGAAATATTATCCTTTATAGAATTTTTTGCTTTTTCCCCCCAACAACAAGACTACCCTACACAAATATTCAGATGAAAAGCAGGTAGATATGCAAAGGGCTTCAGGTTAATAAGTTACCATAATAACTTTGGTAATCAGCTGCCTCTGATTCAGTTCGACCAACTTCCATGTAGTCCACTCAGATCACTGTGTTGATTTTTTTTCAACTGTTATAACAAACTTGAAATAAATTCCATCAGTTTAGATTTAGGAAAATTTTCCATCTTATCAAGTCTGACAACCTTAGATCTGGGCAAAAAGTCTTTCAGATCTTGATTTGAGATTGATACGCTATAGGGATGGAACGCTTTATGAAAACCGTCCGAACCGTTCGGTTCGACTGTCTCGGTTCGGTTCGCGTGTGTTGCGTTCGGTTCATGCGTTGCTCCTTTTTCTCATAGTCGAAGCAATTACACTCCAGAGCAGAAGGTGGCGGTACTGCGACCAAAGCCAACCACAAGTAGTAAACAAGAAGAAGAAGCGAAGCAGCGTAGCAGAAAAAAATCAGTTGTTGTGGAGAATTGTGTGGGTATGGCGAGTGGGAAAGAACAGGAGTTGGAAGACGCGCCAGCAGCACTTTATAGGTCTGCTGTATGGGACCACTTTGCATTTAGAGTGACCTACGATGACGGCGGAAAGAAAGTTGTGGATAAAAGTGCAACAGTGTGCAAGCATCGTGCAACATGTTTTGTTTATGCTAACAGCAACATGAACAACATGTCAGGCTAACAATCAACATGAACCGAACCGAAAACCGTGACCACGGAACCGTGAACCGAACCGAACCGTGGATTTTGTGAACCGTTCCACCCCTAATACGCTAAGCAAGAGCAGATTCTGTTAGTCTTAGGCTACGTTCACATCACAGCCAGAAGTGACCCAAATCTGATTTTTTTGCCCACATGCAACCTGTATCTGATCTTTTCATGACAGTCTAAACAACACAGATCCACTTTCTTCCAGTCCCACCCAGGCCACTTGGCTATGTGGTCCTGAATCCGATACGAATCTGATCTTTTTAAATGCAACCTGTGTTTGAGCGCCCAGGTCGCATTCATCCGACCTTAATGCCATTAGTAACCAACATTTTCACTATTCTGCTTCTTGCTACGCAGAAGCGGCAAGAAAAACAAATGCCTTGGCGGACGATGATGCAGAGAGCAGTATTTTTTTTAACCATCTTGAACAGATTGATGTTTTTCAGGTCTGGAAAGTTCGCTAGATGCGCTCCAGCACTACATCCATGTTTACTTCCGTAAACACAAAGCACACTGGCTTGTGAAGTCATTGCGTCCTCTACTGTGAATGCAGGACACTTGTGTTGTATGACTGCAGTTCACACAGGAGATCAGATACAAGTCGCATATATTTGGAAATATGGACGGCTACGCAAAAAAATAAATCGTAATTGATCCTATAGGCCTGCAGTGCGAATGTAGCCTTAGACTTATGCTATGTTCACACTGCAAGCAGCAGGCGCAGCAAAAATGCACCTGCTGCTTCATTTTTGATGCTTGCACTAGTTTAGTTCCGGCGCGCGGTTGAAGCATCTTTGCTGCTCCAGCTGCGCAGTCAAAAAACGGGTCTGATGCGTGTTGGGCGGAGCTACCCTATCTTTTCTTTGCCTGTAACAATGGCAGTTATATTTGCTGTGATCCGTCGGTAAAAAGTAGTTTTAATATGTTTTTAAGTGAGAAAGTCCACCTGAAAACATTGTCAGTGCATTCAGTTCATCCAGATTACAATCCTGCCTTCAAATATATTTTCACTCTCAGATCCCCGTACAGTGGTGGTGCACTGTCACTGGAAATCGCCTTCAACGGCTGCCTCTGGCTCGGTCACTTTTTGGCGTTTTTCCGCTACTGTTTGTGGCGG